TCCCCCCTCCTGCACCTCCCACTCCGCTGGTTTTCCAGCACAGCCGGTGCCTCCCCCCCAGTTTGCCTCCTGCACCAATCTGCTTTTTTAAACGTTATTTCTATTCCCATCCAATTTCATCCCCTTTTCCTTGTGTTCCTTCCAAACAGGATTTCCAGGTCGGGGCAGGACCAACCCAAGTGTAACTGCAGAGCTGTGTCCCGTGGCCTTTGCAGCCTGGCAGCAGCGCTCAATTTGGAGCGCAGTATCCTCGCTCTGTTCCACGCCGAGATCTGTTGTCCAGATGAATTAATTCCAGATTATATGTGGGTGTGGACTTCAGCTGGGCAAAATTTGGATACCCTGGTTGAGTCATTATTCTCTGATGAATCTCTTGGTGACAGCCTTCGCCCCTATTGTTCTGAGGTGAGCCCCGTGGCAAGAAATGTGAAGGCAAGAAACAAAAGAATATAAAGAAAGGTTACGAAATCAAATTCAGTTAAGGCAGGGTTATTGTCCCTCCATCCCGCCTCTGCCGTCCTCCAGTTGGGATTGGATTTGGCAGGAAAACAACACCCGTAGGACAGCGGAAGGGGTTCAGGGCAGGTTCTGGGGGAGCCCGTCCCAGTGGGACCCTCGTGGCCCAAACAACACCAGAGACAGGGAGGAGGAAGTTTATCATCAATTCTTAACATTTTATTTCTTTACTGGGTTAAACAAGGAGCAGAGAAAACCTCGGCCCCAAAATACAACAGAACTGAAAGCATTACAGGTACAGAGACTATTGAACACAGAGAGTAGTAGGATAATATTTTAATACAACTGAATTATAGCATGGGATTGTGTTTTTGTTGGGTTTTTTTTGTTTGTTTTTTGTCAAACCAGTTTGGAAAATAAATGTAATAGGAACTAGTGCAAAAAAGTTCTAAACATGAAGCACAGTGTATAAAATGGCATAAGAAAACTGTCCCCTCGAGGACACAGTCACTTTCTTATGACAGAGGGGAGAAAGAGAAACAGAAGGGGGGTGGGAACAGAGAGGGAGGGTCGGGAGGCGGAGGAGGAAAGCTGGAAAGAAAGAGAAACCGGGCAGGGGGATTAGAAAGAATATTTTGACTTCAGCAGTATGTTGGTTTGAGTTTCACCACCACGCACTGGAAAAGGACCTTGTGGTCGGTCTGAGCTCTGTCACCACCGACATGGCACAAGCACTTGAGAAGGGTTCGGTCACGAGCAGCCTGGGCACACGCGGGCACAGCCGGGGTCGGGTCCCCACAAGATCCCCACGAGGTGCCCCCGAGGTGCCCTTGTGCCCCCCAGCACCCCCAGCCCGGGCAGGGAGCCCCAGCCCGGCTGCCGGACCCGCATTCCAGAGGGAGAAGGGCACATGGGCAGGGATTTGGGGGCTTGTCATGCTCTCCCTTAACACATCCCTCCTTGAACCATGGAGTCTGCTTCCTCAAGGACCCACACGTGGAATTTCTTCCCAGTTCACACTCCCAGGCACAGATGGGAGCATCTCCCTTTTGAAGGCATCTCGTAACGATGTCCGAGCACCGGAGGCTCGGAGAAGCTGGATTCAGTTTGGTTTGGAACAGAAAACCAAACTAAACATCCATCAGAGGGATGGCTGGGGATTCCCAGGAATTCCTCCCAGGCAGAAGCACCTCTGATTCCCACAGGGGAGGTGTCCCTGCATTCCCAAGGTGTTATCCCAGCCTGGAGCTGCCCTGGTCAGCCAGGCCTTGCTCCAGCCTGTTCCCACCATGGAGCCACTGAGCCTCCTGCCCTGGAGAAACTGGCTGGATGCTATTTTAGGGAGAGCTGGTTGGAATTCCTTACAAATTGCTATTCTCTCCCAATCCGCTGCCGCCTGTTCCAAGTGTGTGAGCAGAAAAAGTGCGATTGATTTTTTTTCTTCCTTTTCTTTTTGGAAAATGAAAGGTTTTGTGGGAAAGGCCTGTTCTGGATGCATTTCTCAATTTGCAAAAAAAGAAAAAAAATCGGTCATAATGATCAATCTGGCTTGTTTTGACAAGTTTCAAAATAAAAAAATCATTGTCTGGCTCAAAATGTCTTTTTGTTTTGCAACTCGGGCACGTCCAGTTCCCAAATACATTTAAAAATGGCAAAACCAAACCCAAATTTCATAAGCCAAACTTAATTCTTGGGTCTTTTTGTTGAGTTTCAGTTTATAACAAGCAAAGCTGTTGACTTTCTGGGCTGAAAAAGGATCATCCTAAAATGCTAATGAGGCTGGAAACTGCTCCTAGCCTTGTCTGGAACACAAGTCCTGGAGATGCAGTGCAAGGAAAGATGGAGGGACGGGGCTCAAGAACTCATCCATCTCCTGCCCAGGCCTGTGAGAGGGGCTGAGAGCTTTGATAAAACCCCAACAACTATTACAAGTTAATTTTCTTTAATGATCCTTAATTAAAGATGGTTTATCCTCCACCACAGCATTCCCTCTGCTCCCTTCCTCCCTCCCAGTGCACGCTGGAAGATCACCTAAAGAGTCACCTGGACCAAGAATACCCAAAAATTGCTGCCAAAACCCCTCAGTTCCTTTGAATGGATTTGTGGTTGGAGCTGTGCAACCCCTGATCTGCTCTGATCTGGGAGCTCTAAGTAGGCTCCTTTTGGGGGGAAAAGGGGTGAGTTTGGGGTTGTGTGATGTTGGTACTTCCAGCTGGGATGCCCATGAGCTTTGATGGCCTGAAGTAGACCATTAACATCCAACCTGAACACCGGACATAGCCCTTCCCAACTTTTCCAGAATAATTTAAGAGAGATTTAACCCCCAGAGATGGGAAGCCCCAGGGCAGCACACAAAGCTGATACACAAAATTCCCTGTCCCATCACATTCTGGCAGAATCCAAGAATGTTTCTGTCCCGACTTTGTCTCTCCCAATCCCTACAGACATTCCTTTCCAGGGTATGGGATTAGGATGAATCAAAAGCTGAAGGTAACTTGGGGTATTGAACCTCACCGCGCGGCTCTGTGGAAATCATGGAATCACAGAAAGGTTTGGGTTGGAAGGGACCTTCAAGACCATCTAGTTCCAACCCCTGCCATGGGCAGGGGCAGCTTCCACTACCCCAGGCTGCTCCAAGCCCTGTCCAACCTGGCCTTGAGCACTTCCAAGGATGGGGCAGCCACAGCTTCTCTGGGAAACCCAAATATCCATCACCAAACCTCCACGCTTGGTGCCACCAGAAGAACAGGAGGGACCTGCAGAGCTCAGCAAGGGAAGCTCCATGGCATCGCTCCAGCAGATCCTGCCCCAGGAGCAGCAGTATCAGGGATTTTCCCTTCCCAAAGGCAGGAGTGTCTCCCGGCATCGCCCGCAGTCCTGAGTGGCAGTGAGTGAACTGCCCTGACATCTCCTATTGAAGCAAAGCAAAATGTGTTGAACAAAAACCATTTCAAGATGTTTTCTGAGTGTTGCCAAGTTACTCAACATGTTCTGCTTTAGTTGTCAGATGCTTTCAAAGCGATTTCCCTCACTCGGAGCACGAATGGTGAGGGCTCTCCCTGGGAATCTTTTGCCTGAGGCTACCATGGATCTGTATTTTCATAAGAAAAAGGCTCAACTAATGATTAATCTTTCCCAGAGGAATCGGGGCCTTTCTTTGGGATTTTTCTTCAGTTATTTTTAATTAATTTGTACAACTGGCAGCGACATGAAAGTGCAAAACCCGGGAATAACGATGTGGCCGGGCAGGACCCGGCTCCTTTTGCTCCTGCAGCCCTGCCCACACCTGGATCCTGCAGGGACATCATCATCCCTCACCTCCCCAGGGATGAGAAACCCCTTCACCAGGGAGGAATCACTGCTTCCCCCTGGGAGTTTTCTCCCAGCAGGAGAAGTTTATCCACTGAAAGAAAGGTTGAGTGTTACATCTTAATCCCAATGTGGGGCACATTCTTAAGGGAGAAGAGATAGGATCATTGGATGAAAAGAAGAAAGCCCCTTGGTGTTAAATTCCTGGTGGGATAAATGCATTCGGACCTGGGGCTTTCCAAGGTGGCTGTGGGAATGTGGCTCTGCAATGGCTCCTGGTCTGGCAGACATCAGGCTTGGGGTGAAGTGTACCTGCATGCACAGGGCAAAGAACCCCATTCCCTGCTTAGCCAGGCACATTCCCTCCTTATCCAGGCACATTCCCTTTTTATCCCCTCCTATTGTAATAAATGTAATGCCGGTGGGATGAAGTGAGACAAAGTCACCGTCTGCTCTCTGGGCCGTTCTCTTGTGGAGCAAAGACAGAGCGATCAGGGATGGAGGATTAAGAAGGCTGTAATGTCAGAGCAAAGGGAGGATTTTTATCCGACGGGCTCCATACACCGCTTCCAGCTGCTCCGGCCTGCTCCGGGAACAGCCTCGTCTGGATCTGTTTAAGGAGATTGGCAAAGTGTTGAATACAGCATATGGTGCCCTAAAACCACAGAACTTATTGACAGCAGCCCAGACTCACTAAATAAAAGATCTCCTTCCAAAGCCTCACTCTGTGAAGACTCAGCACTTTCCTCCCAGTCGCACAAGGTAAAGCCCCAGCCCGGGCTCTGCATCCCGCGCGCTCCCGCTGCCCACCAACGGTACCTCATCCCTGTGGGAACACCTCCTGGGAGCCACTGCCTGGAAAATGTGTCGGTCTCCTACATATTTTAATCCTACTCTGCCCTGCAGAGTCCCTTGCCCGGTGGATGGGGCTGAACATCCCCCCAGTAACCACCACAAGCACCCCAGTGCAGAACTGGCTCCGCTCTCTGACTCACTGGGATGCAGCGCGTGCTCCCGGCCTCTCGAGGTGAAGCCTTCAGCTCACATTAGGGAAGGCAAAGACACTTCTCACAGCTCCCAGGTTATCCCAGCAAAACCCTGCCAGCCCCCTGATGATAACTTGGGATATTGGACCTCACTCCTGCAGCCCTGTGGAAATCATGTAATCATAGAATGGTTTGGTTGGAAGGGACCTTAAAGCTCATCTTGTTCCACTCCCTGCCATAGGCAGGGACACCTTCCACTATCTCAGGTTGCTCCAACCTGAACACTTCCAGGGATGGGGCAGCCACAGCTTCTCTGGGAAACCCAAATCCCCATCACCAAACCTCGGTGCCCCTAGAAGCCCCCAAGCCCAGCCGGACGCTCCATCGCCAGCAGGGCACAGGGGAGAAGGGGCAGGGAGAAGGACACACATCCCTCGGGATAGTCCCTGGGCCAGATCTGGGATCTGGACGTGGTGCAGGGACCGAGCCGGGGCCACCCCGCGCTCCTGGCACTGCTCAGTGTCCCAGCACACAGCGAGCAGGGCCAGTGACTCAGGGCCACTCTGACACACCACACGGGGCTGTTCTCTCTCCACACGAGTTGCTCCGAGATTGGACGGAGCCTATCTCCGAGAGAGGCGCCTGGAATCAGCTTAAATCTTGGCAGGACATGAGAAATCTAATTTCCTCCAGGATGCGGCTGTCTGGAGGCAGGGATGGGGCTGTGCTCCCTCCCCTGGCCTGCCTGGGAGCTTTTGCTCCTCGACAGAGCAGCTCCACAGGACACTGCTCACGGCAATCTGAGGGCTCGGATCCCTCTTCGTGGAACTGCTCCATGTCCAAGTTCTCAGGTCGGTGTAAACTAGGCTGAAAATATAAGGATGCCATGAGGAGCAGTAAAGTGAGAATCATCCTACCTTTTCTGGATAGCAACAGCAAAGGAATCTGTTCGGGAAACACTCTACGTTTTCCATAAGCGTCACCTCTCCCACCCCCAGAACCACGGGATAGCAGGATCACAGGCCTCGTCTCTGCAGGACTTTGGTTAACAGGCAACTGGTAGCGTGTAAACATCACCCCAAAGCTCTGAGATTCAAGTCAAAGCAGGAATCAAACATTCAGCTGCTTCTCAGAGCCTCTTTGGTCTGGAAATGGGCTGGAAACATCAGGAAACCTGTCCTTCCCATGAGATGCCCGGTACTTCCTTCTTCCAGCCGGGCAGGAAGTAGCTTTGCTCATGGGGCTCTGCTTGGTTTTGCTTCAACTCAACGGACCAGAAACCACAAAATTCCTACAGTCCTCAACACTGGGACTTCTCAGACCCTTGCAGATATTTGGGATTGGTTTGAGATGCAGCAGGACATTCCTCCTGCTCCACTCCTGCCTCCCAGCCGGGCTGCAGTGATCCACCCAGGGCTGTAGGTTCCCCATCAAGAGCCAGCCTGGAAAGAGAGGGAGCATCCCACCTCTTCTTGGAGCAAAAAGCAGGTCCACATCCAAACCATGACCTCATGCTAAAATGCCCCCTCCTTCTTCCCTGCCCACCCCAGGACAAACCCTGGTCCCTGGTGCCCAGCCCAGAGGGGCAGTGCCATTCCCCAGGCACCACCTCACAGCATGCACACTGGGAACAGCTCTAGTGGGTGGGTGGAGAATTGGGAATTTCCTAGGAAATGATCTGGGGATCAGATCCTAGGGATCTGATGTCTGTTTGGGGCTGAATCCCTGGATACACTGAGCTCAGGTTAAAAACACCCCAAGTGAGTTGAATGAGACTGCACCAGCCAGCACCTTGACCAGCTGAGTCCAGCTGTCCCAGCTGGGTTCCCAGAAATTTCCTGATCTGGGGGTATCCATGGATAGGAAGTATTCACAAAAACTCTCCTCCCCAGCTGGGCTTTGTTAGTGTCTCTTTTTTTGTGTGGGAGACTCTCTCTACAAAAGGGCAGGTTTCTCCAGCCCTTTTGCCCAGTCTTCCTGCCATCCAGTCGATGATTTGTAGCTGGGAAGCATGGAAGGATGCCTTTGGGATGCCCTGCATCCAACTGTTACTCCCTCCCTTAGCCTGCGCTGCTGGAGTCACATCTCCCTAACTCCTCACAGAAACCAGCCAAAAAGGACAACAAAAAAGGTTACACCAAATCATCAGGACACTTGGCAAAGTGGGATGTGGAATGCTGGGGATATCCCTCCTGCTCTGGGCCTCCTCCCTCTCCACCTCCTTGCACAGAGGAACAGGAAAGGCAAGGCTGGAGGAGCAGGCTGGGATGCAATGAGACCAACCCCGAGTGGTACCACAGTGAAGTGTCACAGCATCCCACTGCTGCCCCAAATCCCCTCAGCGAGGGCAATGCCACACCGAGGATGCTGCGCCCCACGAGGGTGGTTCTGCCTTGAATTGGTGGGTTTTCCCTGGGACAGGAGTGGGGGGGCAAGGCTGTGCCAGGAGGTGCTGCCCCTCCTCCTGCTCCCTTGGGATTCACAGACCGAGGAGAAAAGGAACAAGGGCTGGGCCACCCACCAAACCCTGGCACGGCGCGGGCGGGGAAGGCGCGGGCGCCCAAGGCACTCGCGGCAGCAGCCAGGAGACACTCAGCAGTCCCACGGGGACCCTCCTTCCCAAGGGACCCCCTGCCCTCCATCCCCCCACCCTCGTGCCGTCCCTGCCCCGCTGCCACTGACCGAACCCTTCTCAGCGCCGGGTCCCGCAGCCCTGTGCGCGTTAGAGACTCTTCATCACGGGGATGCCCCGCGCGAGCAGCTCTTGGGGGGTGTGTGCGTCACCCCCAATCCCGTGCCTCCCATTGGAGGAATAGCATGTGCCCCCCTTAGTGGAAAAAGATCTGGCGTTCTCAGTGGAGGTCGGCCCTGCCCTCCGTGTCACTCGTCCCGTGCCACGCTCTCCTCCAGGGCAGGCAGGGCCTCCAGGCCAAGCCCCCCGGCCGCGCCGCCGCCGCCGTGCACGCTCGAGAAGGACACCATGGTGTGGAGAAGCATCAGGACCAGCACACACAGTCTGATCCTGCTGCTGCCGAGGCGAGACCCTGCGGAGACCGGCAGCAAGGACGGGGAGCGGGGCTGGTGGTACTGGTGGTACTGGTGGTGGTGGTAGAGATGGTAGTGGTTCTGCTGCTGGTGATGGACGTGGGGGTCGTGGCGGTGGAAATGGAGTGACTCTGACGCCGTGGATTTGGGGGATGTGTTGTCGTTGCTGTCTGGGGGGTGGTCGCAGGAGTCCCATTGCACCTCGCAGCACTTGGCCTCCTCTTCGGGCAGCTGGTTCTCCAGCAGCCCTGCAGGGAGGAAGAGGGGGAGGAGGAGGGGGTCAGTGGGAGACTGAGGACGGGGCTGTGGAGGGAGCGAGCCAGGTGCTGCGGGGTGGGCAGAACCTGAGAACCAGGACACCCAGAGACCCCCCAGGACTGGCCCCCAGCAACTGTGAGCCTGCACAGATGAGCAAGGAGTGCTCAGGGCTCCCCAAATCCTGTTCATAGTGGTTCAATGTCCCAGCCCTGCTTTAATCCATCACCTCCAGCCCCTTACATGCTTTAGCTTTCAATCAGAGGAAGGACTTTCACTTCCCATGTTAAGATGTCGCTGTATCTCCATTAACCCCTCCCGCTGCACCCCCAGGATGGCCCTGTTTCAGCATCAGGCCATGTGTTTCCACACTGCACTTCCTTCCACTCTGCCCCAAGCCTCCCAAACCCAGCATGTGGCTTGTGACCCGCCCTGTGCCCCGCTCCCAGACCTCCTTACCCGTACAGATGAAGCCAGGCAAACCTCCATAGATCAGCTCGTCATTGTCCGGTAACACAAAGGGGCACCTGGTCTGCACCTCCAGGCAGTATTGCTTGCATGGGATCCGCTGTCGGCACTGTTGTTGGGTCACGTTGAAGTACTCGGAGCACAGCCAGGCCTTGTAGACAGCCTAGGGGAAGCCACCAAGAGGGACTGTCACCTCCCTGAGCTGGGGTTGCTGAAGCCTCGCAGAGACACGGGGTGAAAGGGGAAGGCAAAACTCCCAGGCCCCGTGAGAAATGTCTGCCAGGCCATCGGGGTCACTTACTGATTGATTAAAACAACTCACTCAACTATCAGGAAGGTGGAACTCATCTCTCTGGCTAAATCCACCACAAAAATAAAGCTAATTACCACACAGAGTAATGTCCCCTGCAGACAGGCACCGGGACAGACTCTGCCAACACCAGTGACCCAAGACCTCAATCCATCATACAAAGGTTCCAACACTGCTTATCGCCTGTCCCAGAGCACCTTCCTCCTCCCTGAGACACCCCGCTGCTCCCCCGGGCAGGGGGAGGTTCTCCCTTCCTCTAAAGTGCTTTGGTCCCCATCAGCTCTGGATGTGGGACATGGGACAGCAAAACAGACTGGGCTGGTCTTTCCTGGAAATTTCCTGCTGGAAAGGCTGCTGGCCAGAAGCAGCTGGCACTGCTGGGATGCAGCACACGCAGCCACTGCACCTCAAGACCTGCTGCCTCTCTCTCTGCCACCAAATAACATTTTCCTCACCTTCCCCACCTGGCCATGGGGGAGATTCTCAGTTCCCAGATATGTGGAACTTCCTGCTGTGCCATTTCTTTTGGAACCCACTCATTCTACAGGGATGTTCTGACTCTGGAATGTACCAAACAGCGGTACAGATGTCCCTGTGTGCTCCCCTCACCTTCCTGATGCTTCGGGTTGTGCCTGGCAACATTTCCATATGGAAGAGCAACCTGGGGGTTCACCTGTGACTGCAAGGCCCGCCTCTCTAGCCTGTCTGGTCCCTGGTTTCCCTCTTCCTTTCCATCCTGTGTGTGCTCGAGCACAGCCCAGATGGCTTTGCCTGAATCCCCCTCGTCTCCCCAGTATCAGGCACGGGTGGAAGCTGTTTGTCTCCACTGGCTGCAGCAGGGAGGGAGGGAGAGCTCCTGTTTCTCCCGGTGAGCATCATTCCTCAGGCTGCAAGAAAGCCACGGCACCCCTGGGAAGGGCACCCCCTCCTTGGTGCTTCCAGCTCATCTAAGAACTCATCTGGGCACCAGTGACAGCACTAGGGTCATTCCATGACCACATCCAACTTCCTTTGAAACCAGCTGGAAAGGACTCCCTGTGATTCAAAGGGAATGAGCTTTCCTCCTCGGCGTGCTTGGAGAAACCCCGTGCTCCTCTTTTCAGTGGCATTTTCATTTTCTGGAGGCTTTGAAACCATCGGTTCTTTGTTTCCCCATGTTTTCCATAGATCCTTATCATCATTTGTTTGGATCATGGTGGTGTCTCAGGATTAAAGAGAGTTGGGAAATTCTCGGCAAGTTATTTTAGTTTCTTTTTTCCCCTGGAAAATGCCAAATCATGAAAACCAGAGTTTTCACGGAAACGTGTTAGTTTTGGTGAAACTTTCATCACAGAAAGTTTAATGGGAACCAGGACATGATCCACGGAGTGAGCATTTCGGAGCAGTCCCAATCCCCATGGCCAGGGTTTTCCTCTGGGATGTGGCAACACAGCTGTGGTCCTGCTTCTTCTCCCTGTCCCATTGGATGTTAATTACTGGGACACAGTGGAACGGCTCCAGAGAAGGAACCAGAGTGTGAGGACACAAGTGGGAGGGAATATTTCAAGCTCTGGATCTGCATCCCTACGCCCAGCCCCATCTGGGACAGACACCCCAAGTCCATCCCTCCAGCTTAGCCTGTTTTCCAGGCCTTGTCTGGCTTAGGATAAACATCTCCATCAGTGGGACTTCCTCGTGTTTCCCAAGGAGGTTGTTTTACAGCACTTATCTCGCTGCCTACAAGTTTTCCTTCATACTTGACCTACATTTTTCCATCCAAAAGTTCACTCCCTTCAATCATTCCAGACACCATCCCTCTCCCTCCTCTCTGTTTACACATTTCTAATATTTGCAGACGTATCACACTCCCCGTTAGTCATGACTCAGGCGAGCTCGGCTGATTTACTCACGGCATTTCCTGCCCGTCTCCCTCCCAGCTCCAACTCTCTCCCACGCTGCTTCCCAGATCCCAGTCACATCCACAGCTCCCACCTGGGGACACGTGCAGCCTGGTAAGGAGGGATGCTACACTGGATTCTCTAGCAGAGACTGTGGGTGTCACTGGGGCTGTCCCAGCTCCAGATTTGGGCTCAGTGACCCACAGGTGGAAAGGGCAGCTGGAATCAGAGATTCCCAGAGCTTGGCAGGATGGAGCTCAGGCTCATCCCGCTCTCCTGAGGAAACACAGCTTGCACAAGCAGACTCTGCATGGATCTGCACGTTTTCCATACAAAATTTTTGTGTTGATTCCCATCAGGGAAGTCTGGCAGAGGGTTGAGGTCACAGAAAAGGATATTCCCAGGAATTTAATGGAAATGCGGAGTGAGAGGCTGCAAGGAGCTGGTGATACCACCGGAGAGGGCAGAGGAGGTGTGCTCATCCAGAAACTACTTCCCTTTCCCCTTTCCTTTCCAGGGCACCCGCCTCCCCAGAGGGAAGCACCGGAGCCCCGGTCCCAGTCAGCCCTTGCCAGGCTGGGCTGCGGATCCTCTGGATGTTGCAGCAGGATTTCCCACAGCTCTGCAGGATGGAAACTGCTCACAAATAGAGACAGCAAAGACCTGCTGGTCCAGCAGCCTGCCCCACTCCACTGGGATCACGCTGATGTGGGCAGATCTCCAGGAGACCCCGGCCATCCTCCCATCATGCATCCGCAGAGATCCTGTCACCAGTCACAAGCAAATTCCCTGGGATGCTCAAGCTTCTGGTATCTCTGAGCTTACCCCACACATCCTGCTTTACCTTATTATAAATGTGAGAATTTAGGACAGGAGGAAATTTATTTCCTGCTTAGATCAACAAGGAAAGCTCCCTGTTTTCCATCCTTGCCCTCTATGGATTCTTCAGGGTTGGTGTTCCTTCCATTCTTTCTGGTTTTGCTTTTGGCAGATCTCCAGCCTGGCCAAGTAAATGTAAGTAACCTGAACTCCAAATAGCTCCATTTTGGTGCCCTCTTCCTGCATTTTTAGCTCAGAGGACTGGCTGGATGGCTCCGAGAAAGCACACGGAGTTTTGCTGCCCAGGAAAGGAGCCAACTTCAGACACCCAATTTATAAGGGAGGAAGAGGAGGAGGAGGAAGAGGACAGGCTATTTGTCTGCATCAGAATTTTGCAGGTGGGATGAAATACCCCATCATAAAAGACATTAAAAAGATACAACATGAACTGGATTTCCAATAGCTAATTAAGCTACTTGTCTGCTTGCACTTCCAGCAGGATCTGGAAAGCAGCAGTCAGAGGAATGGCCCTTTCACAGGGAATTCCGTGCCAAATGGAGCTCCTTCCTGCCTGCACTCTTCCCCCTGCCTCCTGGATAGCATTCCCCACCAAACAGCTTTTCCAGAGTCTTTCTGTGTCCTTATTATGTCTGCACAAAATAATATACTAATTTTTAAAGTAATTTGGCCACTTCAGGGCCAGTCTAGTTGCTGCCAATATGTTGCAAAAACTGGCATTGTCTGTTGAACCATCCCAGCTAAATTTTGGGACAACAAAGGAGCAGGGATGGAGCAGCATCCTCAGGATGCAACACCTTTGCAGAGGATGCAGTGCTTGGGATAGTTTGGATGCTCCCTGGGAACACCAGCTGTAATTAACACAGCAAACTGTTGTTGTCCCATATGAGCAGGAATCAATGCTTGGGAAGTTTCCCCAAGGAAAATCCTACTGATGGCCCAGTGGTAACAAACTCTTCTCCTTAATTACAGGCAGGGGCTAGGGCAGCATTCCCAGCCCAAATTCCACTTCTCTGGAAGGGTGATTTGCAGACTGGAGTGGGAGGAGGACAGAGAGGGAAGCAGGGAGCTCTCACCTACAAAATAACCCTGGAAGGAGACCTGGGAGAGTGCTTGGGCCAGAGGCTTTGGATCACTCTGGAAGCTGGGCTCTTCCATCATGACTCTCCTTCCTTTTCCTCTTTGAGGACATGCTCAGATCTCGTTCACTCATTCCCAGCTTCCAGGTGGGATGAGAGGAGAAATCCTTGCCTGTCCCCGCCAGACCACCAGCTGGGAGCAGCCCCCTCCCCTCCCAGAGCAGTTCCCGGGACTCACATTTCCATCCTGGCCTGAGATGAGCATCTGGAGTGGCTGTGCCTCATTAATCTTGGACCCAGGGAAATGAGTCCTGCTAATGAGCTGCTCGGGCAGCTCTCCAAGCTCTGGCACATCAGGATGCAGCGCGGGAAGCAGGACAGGCTGGGGGGGGAAAGAAGAGCTCCTTTGGATGGCAGAGGATTAAGGGAATGCTGAGGTTCAGGGCTGGCCAGGAGGAGTCACAAACACAAGCTTCAATGTCCAATTACCACTGTATTCAATTACTGCTGCCTGCAACTTGGGCACGAACAATGTGGAGCTTTAAAACAGCTTTTTTTTCTTCATTTTTTTAAAAATTCTCCTTGCTATGGGCTGTTCCACCATCATCTCTGGAACAGCTGGATTTTTGGTAACTTCTTTGATAGTTCTGGAGCTGTGTTATCCCTGCCTTGTCACAGTCACATGCTCTGGTTTGGGAGAGGGGGGAGAAAAACCTCAACCCCAACCCCAACCCCAAAAGCCAACAACTGTGCGCGATTACGGGGTTTGTATTGTTTGGACTTATTTTTTTTAATATAAAGTTGACTTTGGCCTGGTGCTGACAGCGCTGGAGCCGCAGATCCTCCGTTTCCCACCCAGGGGAGGTGCGGGCCGGGCGCCTCTGCCCATTGTACCCGGCACCGGGGGGCACGGAGGGGTGGTGGTGAGGGCACGGCCACGACACTGCCAGCAGGAATGGCTGGGACAGGGAGGGGGGCTGGCTGGGAATGGCGCTGGATGCACACGGGCCGTGGGGTGCTGGGAACGGCACTGCTGGGAACACCGGTCGCTTGGCAGCAT